GACCCGCGGCGGCCGCTCCCCCCTTGGTACGGAAAGCGGGGGCTCATTCAGGCGTGTGCTCTGGTGTAATTGTCACGTGTCTGCTGGAGTCCTTCGTTAAGGTTATCGGAGTAATAGTAACAAACCCCTCAGTAGTAATAGTAACAAACCTCTTCTCGACAGCTCTGGTGCTAAAATATGGTGATTTAGATAAAAATGATAAAAAGAGTACTTAATGTTCTTGAAATAAAGTCATTTTAATGTTTTAATACTAAATTCGTCTTTAGCTAATAAAAATCATAGAATCATAGAATGGTTTGGATTGGAAGGGACCTTAAAGATCATCCAGTTCCAACCCCCCTGCCATCAGCTGGGACACCTTCCACTAGACCCGGTTGCTCAAAGCCTCATCCAGCCTGGCCTTCAACACTTCCAGGGAGGAGCATCCACAGCTTCTCTGGGCAACCTGTTCCAGTGTCTGACCACCCTCACAGTGAAGAATTTCTTCCTAATATCTCATCTAAACCCACCGTCTCCAGCTTGAAGCCATTTCCCCTTGTTTTGTCATTAACTGCCCTTATGAAAAGTCCCTCCCCAGCTTTCTTGTAGCCCCTTCAGGTACTGGAAGCCGCTATAAGGTCTCCCCGGAGCCTTCTCTTTTCCAGGCTGAACAGCCCCAACTCTTTCAGCCTGTCAAATATATTTGATTATCCGAAATATAAATATTCCTGGCTCATTCCCAATTGCATGTGTATGAGATCTTTTTTTCTATTTGAAAATGAAAAGCTCATGTAAAGAGTGGCAGGATAGAAATAACAATCCAATGTATGTGTGAACTTCAATCCAGAGCAAAACCACTATGCAGAATTATAAGCAATTAAAATTACTAGTAACTCTTAACTGCAGTATTATTAGTTGTACACTTTAATAGCCTATGTGTAAACAGCCATCTGAGGAGACTTCTGCCAATATGCTGAATCGTTGTTATTTTTCTAAGATGACTGATAAATAGACTGTGAAAAATAAAAAAGAATATTCCTACAGACTCTTCACATTGAATGGTGCTTAATTTTTTTTGTTGCATGTGTATCTGATAAAAGCCACTTTAATGACAGATAATTCACTCCAGTGCTGTATCAGAAAATGGACTGGGACCAGTTTGACCTGAACCCTAAAGTAATTGCTGCCCTTAAGAAAGGTAACTTAATTTGCCAATGTCTTGCTAATGGATCTGTCATCTTAGTGTCTTCCTTTACGTAATTGTGTGCTTGTGGGTGTAAGCCTATAGATGTACAGTAACATTTTAGAACTGTAATTAAGTATTTTATAAACAACTTTTTTTAATAATTGGCAGTGATGGCTTTTCCCCATACTCCAGTAATAATTTTCCAAACAATGTTATAATGTATGTTGATACATTCAAAGTAAACGTTGCCTGCTCAGCTTACAAGAATCCAATGTAGGTAAACTTCAAGTCAATGAGTAGTAGGAAGTGGGAAAACTTCTTCTTTGGTGCATATGACTGTAATCCAGCTAAAAGTATTTTTATAAATTCTTCTACTTGCAGCTGACATAAAATCAGTAAAAGAGATTTTAAATCTTTCTGGAGCAGACTTGCAAAGATTGATGAAACTATCCAGTGCAGATATACAGTGCTTACTGAAAACAGTCTCTCACACGCTGAGGAGAAATAGTATGCTGACAGGTAATATGGTCAATACAAAAAAACCTGTTCTGTTTAACTCTAAAAATACTGTCACTGGGAGAAGAAGGGTTTTGGCTCCTTGTTGACACACTAATGTGATTCTGAAAATGAAAAGGCAAGCGTTTTAGTTGTGCTGTAGTGAATTATTGAACTATCCTAAGGACAGCTCGTCTGAGACCATGAAGGTAGAAGAACGTGGATGGGTGTCATTCTGCGGGATAAAGCCTGCCTGAAATAGGACAAAATGATTCTCCAGTCTGGAAAACTTGATTACAAGGAAAAAAGATTCCCTCTCCCTTCAACTAAGACTAGTTGAAAAATGTATATGATGTATTAAAAACTATATAAACTGATCTGATATAAACTCCTCGTTCCAAACCAAGCAGGACATAATAGCTCCACCTGTACAAACACTTCATGCCAGCTCTGTGCTTAGAATTGATTTTCTTGTGATTTGCATATATCCTCAGGCCTTGGCCAGATGCCAGCTGTGCTATTTCACAGTCTGCTGTAGTTTCCCATTTCCATAACTGCTGTGCTTGAAACTTGCTGGCAATATTTTCCCAAACTGTAGTTTTCCATAGAGACTCGTTAGAGGTAGAGAAGAAGGAAAAAGGTTGAGAGGAGGAGAGGGCTGGGTGTAGACTGTCAATTTTCAAACAGGCATTTGGTTAGTAGACCCTGTGGGGAAAGGGAGGTGGGAAAGACCAGGCTGAATTAGAACAATCTCCCAAGCATCCCTTGTAGCCAGAAAGCTGGTTTACAGCCTCTATTTTGTATCATTGTGTGTTAGAAAGATACTAAACGAAACTCCTTTTTTCTTTTTTCTTTTTTTTTTTTTTAATCTTAAAAAAAAAAATAATAATCCCAAACCTTGCAGCACTTCAGCTCTACCAAGATAAAGACTGTCTCACCTCCCAACACCAGAAGCTCAGCCTAGGATGTTCAGTACTAGATAACTTGTTAAAAGGTGGCATTCCTTTAGTGGGAATCACAGGACTGGCTGGCGAAAGTTCTGCTGGGAAGACTCAGATTAGTTTACAGCTGTGCCTTTGTGTGCAGTATCCTTACAAATATGGTGGATTAGAGTCTGGTAAGTACCAAAAGGTAAATATTGATTATCTTTCTGTTTGGAGGGCTATACTGTCTTTAAGAACATCATCAGTGAGTTGAAGTAGATGGATGTATTCAGTGCATGCCTCGCCCTTCTGCAGTAGTGTTAGTAGTAAGCTGGTTAGTTAGTAATGCATCTTTAGAGAGAGAAAAGCATGCTGTATACGTGCCCTGCATCACAACATCATACAGTACAACATTACCATTGGCTGGTGTTTACCTGCCTGCCACTGTGGGTTAAACTAGACACACATGTAAACAATATGTGGAAAGTATTGCTTTCATAAGCACTTACAGACTCCTCAGGTGACAACCACAGCAAAACAGCTTGTCAGATAATTTTCCACAAACATCTTGGGTGTATGGTGTATATTCCCTAGTGGGAGTTTCAAATATCAAATAATATTTAGTTTGATAACAATAATTAAAGATATTTACAGAGTAAAATTGATGGAAATCTAATTGAAGAAAGTTAACATTGCTTTGTACCTGCAGTTTTCCTCATTTTGCTGAAATATGTCGGTTTATTCTTTGATTGGAGTATGCTTTGGTTTTTTTTTTTTTAACTCTGTCACATTAATCTAACTTAGGTTTATTCTTTGATTGGAGTATGCTTTGTTTTTTTTAACTCTGTCACATTAATCTAACTTCTGATGTTTTCTTTTGAGTATAATGTGCTGTCTTAGAAAGGGAGGAAGTTTATGTCACTCCTGAGAATTCAGTGTCCTGGTAGTCTGCCTGTGGTGTGTTTTGGCTGTGATCTTTCTCTTCCTTCCATGCAGCACTGGGCTTAATTTGGCAGCTCAGTGGTTTGTTGTGGCAAAACTTAATTATTTCTATATCCACCTATGTGGAAAAGTCACAGAATGTCCAAATTAAGATCTTGCTTAAAGGGCAGTAATTAGCCTGTTGCTTACATTACTTTGCTTTAAGCTACGTCATTAATTAGAGCAGAAGCAAACATATTTTGTTAGATTCCTTCATGTGTTGCTGCTAACTGCCATAAATAGCTGGAATGCAAATACATTTTTATTCATACCCAAGCATTTCTCCCTATTTATGTTGAAAGAAAGGAACAAACCAGAATGAGAGTACAGAAGAAGGTGCCCAACATCCTAATAGCGCTCTTGTCTCTTGTACCACGCTACAGTTTTCAGTCTAGGGCTACAAAATGGCAAGTCCTTTCATTATTTGTGTTTGAAGATGGTTCTTGTTTCTTATGGGCTAAGCACTTGGTGCCATTACAATTGCTTTGTTGTGTCTCTGTCCCCCATCTGCCCACTCCTAAGTGTTTCATGGAAGATAGGATAGAATGGCCATCGTATCAGTGCTCCTGTGAGAGAGCCAGAGCATTTTGGAAGAGCTGAGAGAACAGGACTTTTGAGGATCTTGAAGGTCTAGAAGGTGGAAATATCCTGCTGCAGGAGCTGGAGGGCTAAGGGAGTGGTGGAACCCTCATTCTTGCAGTTCTTGGTGTGGCATCTTGCCATACGTTACACTCCATACAGTCATAGCAGCAGATATTGTTTGCATAGCACTTAGAAAATGAAACTCTCTGCAGTCTGTAAATAGGGGTTGTGTTGAATCTCTTATTAGAAATACAGGAATTAAACGCTTACGTTAAGTATGAAGTTTTAATCTTTAGGAAACTTGAGGAGAACAACAGTGCTTAGTAAGTGGGACAGAAGTCTAGCACTACCAATAGAAGATTAATCTCAGTGCTAAAACTTTGCTAATAATTTAAATTATGGTGGCTTGGGTTTTTTTAAGTGCTAGAAACTTCCTTCCTCTTAGGTGATGATGTTGAAATACATTTCTTTAGACAGTAGAGATTTATTGTGTATTTACTTCATTTGACTTAGCGCGAATCGTGTTTACAATTCTCAGTGCTAGGAGGTTGGCAGCAAACAAAGAAAATAGGACATCCTTTGCCTCCAGGTTATCTTTCTGCCATTCTAAGAATGTCAGTTATAGTAAATAGCATGTTGGCTGAATTTATTTTATATACCCATATCATAAGTAATACATGAATATAAAGTGATAAATTCATATCCATATTAGAATTCTGAATTAGAAAAAAATGTTTGCTACTGAATCTTGGTAACAAGATGATTTGATGCATGACAGATTATGTTCACAGGACTCAAAATTCATCCTTCTTAGAGCATGGGGGTTTTTAGTGTTTTTTCTTTTGTTTGGTTGGTTTGGGGGTGGTTTTTGGTTAACAACCAGCATAGCATTTTATCAGCCTAAGTAACAGTCAAGCACGAGGATTTGATGAAGTAGCTGGTTTCAGGTTTTTGTGGGCCTGTGAGGAAAGGTGCCTAGAAGATCACTGGGGATGACTGACTTCTTAAGAGAGTCTCTCAACTTCTTCCACAAACCTCATAACCACTCTGACTCTTGACTTGCTGTTAGTGCTGGCAGCTGCCTAATAAACTGTAAATAGCACGATGCCATCGGCTCTTCTGTTTGTGTTGTACTAGTCTCCTCTTTATTTACGTTATGACAATTCATTTATCTTCAAAGACATGTGAATATTAAGTGGTTTTGCCTCATAATTAGGCTTTGGTCTTTAATAGTAAGTTTAGTTATTTGTAAATCTCTTCTAGCCCTTGTAACTTTGCCTGGGTGACTCTGCCCTTGTAACTTTGCACTATTTTTAATGCACTGGTGTGTGTTTTCATTAATAAAATGTTTAATCGTGGCTCAAACTGAAAAGCACAAACAGAAGCTGAAGAGGCTTGATGAAGGCCCAGTAAGAGAAACTACCACTCATTTTACTGTGAAACTCAAATTTTAAATCCAGGCAAAGCTTATCTGATACATTTTATGTGGCTTAGCTCTCTTAAAGTTCAAGATAAAAAATTGTTTTGTGACATGAGCAGCACTTAAAGGGGAGAAAAGAAAAAAATGCCTCACTATATTTTTGAGGAATCACAAATGGACCATTTATGTACTTGGAGTACAATATCTGCTGTAGTGGATATAACTGCTGTCAAAGAAGCATTGCAGTGCAGTAGAAGACTGGCAGGTAACCAAACGCTGGTATTTACAAAACTAAACTGAGGCAGGAGATAGTCAGTCTATGAAGTAGAAGTGTTCCTAAGAAGGAGTGAATCTTAAGTCTGGTTTTAGAAAGCAGATGGTTTCTCTGTAAGCTGGTATTCCTGGTAAAGAAATCTGTCTTTCGGAATTAGGCGAAAGGCAATCAGCTCTGAATAATAATGGTAGTTGTTGAGAAGTCCAGAGTGTTTTACTTTGGGAGCTGTTATGTTAATGTGCTGACAGAAGTTGGCATAGCTTTTGTTAGCATGAAATTCAGAAACCACATAGGCTTGAGGAAGCTGCATATCATGGTCTGGTTTCTTTATTTCTTTGTTTGTTTACTTGGTTTAGAATCTGCACCATAATGATTTCCATTTTTGTGATGTAAGTGTTGCGAGATGCAGTTGGCTTACCTGAGTGAGTATTAGTGCTAGATACATGATGTCTGATTTGTGATTAGAAATTTTTCTTGACTTACTGGCTTTTTAGAAATAGTGAAACTGAAAATCTGATTAGGAATGGATGACTGCCCTTAGTAAAGACACTCACCTGCCTGTTTGATACTCAGCTGTCGCTGTCAAGTTGGAGAGTGATATGAAAATTAGTCCAATTAGGAGAAATTAACCTAGGGAAATAGTCAAGAAAGTTAAGGTTCACCTAATTAACTGTTTAATAATTAGCTATTTAAAAAGCCTTAAGCAGCTAAGTGATATAATTAAGTTTACTGTGTTTTGCTCACCTGAGCTTCAGGCGAGTACAGACAGTATTCAACAAGCTGCTGATGTCTCTGTGAGCTTAATGGGTTCAAGTAACTGGACTCATTTTCTTTTTTTTTTTTAATTTTCCTTCTTTGCTGATGGAAATTTGGATATGTGCTCGTTTGTTTCTACAGGCATGGCATATGACTTCATTTGTTGTAATTACTGAAGACAGCATTTATACCTGCAGTTTAAAATTCAGAATTCCATCCCCTCAAATGCTAGGAAAAAAGTGGGAAATGTACAGAAAATATTCATGGTTCAACTTCTTAGTGTTTTCTATGTTGTAGTTTAGGAATCCCAATCAGATTGTGACTGCTCTGATGGCTGATGCTTCACTGTAGTCCTTATTCACTGTCAAACATTGGAAACTGTTAATGACAGTTCCCTCTGACAGAACTATGTACATAATGAAATTGGGGAAATGAGAGTGCAGACTGAATATTCTAGTGATAAATGCTATTGGCTGCCAGGGCCAAGGAAAGTAAAAAGGAGTCAAAGTGTAAATTAGGTAGAATGAAAATAGAAATTGTGGAAACATTTCATTTCCTCCTTTGGAAGGCAGGGATGATGATGAAGTATTTTTCCACGTGTTAATAATTGAGGAAGGTCTTTAATTCTCAACTGTCAAAGGCCATTTTTTTAAATCAGTGGGCATGGGTAAGGTGTTTTGGTTTTTTTTTTTTTGCTTTACCTGATTGCTTTCTGAGCATTTAAAAATAAGACTGTGTATTTGGAAAAAAAAAATTATTTTTTTTTTACATGTTTCCCATGTGAAGTAGGGTGATTTATGTAAGAATTTACAGTGAGGTTGGGGAGAGTTAAGCTGAAGATCCAAGTTTAGCCCTAAAGAAAATTAGGCTTAGGCTCATGTTTGTCTTATATAGAAGATTCTCAGAATTCAATGCCCTGTGCTATACAGTTGTCCATCAGCAAAATACTTTTATTGATAAAGTAGCCATTAATTTTTACTTCATATAGTCCTGAGATCTTTCAGTTCCTGCTATTGGATATATAGTTTCATATTTTTTCAGTGAAATATATAGTGGATTTGGAAGTTGCATCTGAAAATGGGAGATTTTCAGATGCAACCCTGGAGAGCCAGCGTGGGGATGGACCGTTGGGTGGAAATGTTCAGGATGTCTCGTGTTGCCAAGCTCTGTTAGCAGCTTCAGCCACTTTAGTGAGTAGACTTAATCCTTCGATGTCACCCTCTAAGTGTTCGCTGATAATTCTGGCTAGTTCTGGCAATAACAGTAACAATTTTTTATAAAGAAAATATTGCATGTATTTCTGTTTTATTTCCACAACATCTTCGATGTTAATTTTCTCTGCAATAATGCATACTTGTTAACCAGGAACCACAGTAAAAATATTTATAGACATCACTCACAGTAATGTGACTGAGGTAAAATGCTTTTTATCTAATTTACCATTTTCAGGAAGAGTTAATGGGACTGAGATTGGATGAGTGATCCTCTTTAAACTGGCTTACAAATTGTGGCAATAAGTACCCCTCCATATGTAAATTTTAAAACAGTGAGTGAAATTAATCAAAATACAAGTTGTACTGGTTTTGGCTGGGACATTCCATCTTCTTCATAGTATAGCTCTGTGTTTTGGATTTCTGACCAAAACAGGCAAACTATGCAGTATCACCCTGTCCTGGTTTTTGCTAGGATAGGGTTAATTTTCTTCTTAGTAGCTAGAAAGCACCGTGTTTTGGTTTCAGTGAGGACTATTATGAGAA